TGTCAATTTCCTCCTCCGCTTCTCTGATTCCCCTCAGCCTCTGATTCCCCTCAGGTTTTTTGGCAGTACCATAATAAAAATAAATGATACCACTTAAGGTATTTTCATTATATTTTAAAACTTTGCACTCTGATAGTCGCACTAAAAAAACCCTGAAAAGTATGACACATTTATTGTGTGATCTTTTAGACAATCTTGATGATTAATCAGAAATTAACTAACTTTCACATATAAAAATCTGCTTCTTATCAATCTGTAGCATGCACTACAGCCTTAGGAATTTAGAAAAAATTCTGTATAATCATAGTATTAATATTTGATCTTTCAGTTATGGATGTGCTAATTTGTCTCTGTGTTAGTAATGAATGGCTGCATGAAAAAAGTCCCATGGCATCTTTTCCTCCAAAAGCAGTAAGGTGGAAAACTAGATTCTATTCCAGGCTCTGTCTTTGACTTTCTTTGTTAGCTTGGACTAATCTCTTCATCTTTCTCTGCTTGTTTTTTCATCTATAAAATAAAACAATGCCTTTACAAAGCAAGATATGCAAGATAAGAGCTGAATAATGCACTTTTGCTATTGGTAATGCTACTCTTGCAAAATGAACCCAGTTGTTGCAGCCTGGTTGGTACAATATTTTCCACAAATATGAAAGACATGCTCAAAACAGCTTTTATACTCCTTTGTCTTTTTTACCTTTTTGTAAAGGAGTGAATGTATTCATGCCAGTCCATAAAAAATAAAATATTGACTTAGTAGTTTTTAAAACAAAGCATCTAGAAGTTGCTTGTTTTTGCTCCTTTTAGGTCTGCAGGAAACTCAAAAGACTTTTTTCAGATGCCTTTAATGCAAAATATCTGGTATACTTTCAAAGTAAAACCAGGCAAGAAAAAGAACAGCTCTTCAGTACATCTCCTGCAGTTGTTTTCTTTTAGCTTTAGTCTGGGCTTTGATATCTCTTGTAGTCGAGATTAAAAGAACAGCCCAGTTAGTGGCCATGTGATTCAGGAGACCCAGGTCAGCCTTGCTATTGTAGGTGGGGCACTTACCTCTGTTTCATGTCTATCCTGTGAAGTAGCATAAGGATAAATAGATTAAAACTTGTGAGACATTCAGGTAGTCTAGTGATAGGGACATTTAAGTACCTTGAATTTCTCTCAGTCTTGGGACAGGTGCACCTTAATATCCACCATAAAAGTTTAAAACTAAACTTATATCATCAGCATATATACCACTGAGGATGAGATAAAGGAAAAGCTGGCATTATATTTGCCAGTAGGACCTATATAAACCTATAAAATGATTTACTGGAGGAAAAATATTTCAGTGTTATTGTCTCTTTCCTGACCTAAGCAGTTCTTTAAGGTATTATAAGACTTCATGGCTTAGCAGAAATATATCTTTACATTACTAGGAACCAATAGTATTTGGGGTGGTATGGGGAACTGATACTATGTGCAGTTCACAGCTCAATTTAGTTTCACCCTTCTGTCAACACATTTAAATTCCTAATATGTATAGCAGAATTTACTTCTGTGTTGGACTGTTTTCTCCACTGCTTCAGCACTGCTTAGCAATTCAGAAGATAGGAGTAGAATTCGAGAGGGTCTAGAAAAATTGGAGAATTGGGTTAGAGACAACAGGCTCATGTTCACTGCAAACAAATGTAAGGTGCCTGTACCTATGTGTGAGGGAGAGAAGGAGCCGACGGGCCCCGAGGCTCCCCGCCCCGACGCTATCACGTTAATCCCGCCCACGCCGGCCCAAAACGCTGGATGGGAACTCACCTATTCCAGGTGCACGGAGGAGGGAGGAGCAGAGCTGACCAGGACTGGCATAAAAGAGACGCCGCCGATGGCCAAGGGGGCGGAACCGGAAGGAAGCCGGGGGGAGCACCCGGGAGCAGATGCAAGCCGTCCTAAGGCAAGGCAGGACCTTCTGGGGTAGGGAAGCCCCAGTGGGATTTGGGAGCCCAGTCCACTGGCACAGTGAGGCCACGGACTGTTTGATGCCGCCGGGAGTGGCGAGACCCGGCAGGAGCCGGGTACCGTATTACCTGGAGTACAGGGGTAATCACAGACGGTGAAAGCACAGTGCCCCTAGTCAGAAGGATTGAAGAGCTCCTGGGAGCCCGAGGGAGGGCTGAAGAGCACTGCAAGAGCTGGGAAAGGGGTGCTAGCCCCACAGCGTACAGGAAATACCAGGCAGGTCGGCTGAGGGTCAAAGCAGCCTTCTCGCTCTAGTGAATCCCTGGCTGTAACGTTTGTGTTGACCTTTGCATTTCTTTTACGGACATTTGGCGTGATATCCTGACAAGTGGCCTGCCCAGAGGGGCGGTCACACCCGGTGGAACGGGCGAGGGTGTAGAGGTGGCGGAGCCCTCAGCAACGCGGGACCACGGGAAATTGAGGAGTCTCACCTTTGGACTGACATGCGCCGGACAATCTGAACTGAACCGGTCTATCATCAAAATTGTGGCAGGCGAGGCTGGCATGTGCAAGCTACAGGTGAGCGACTCCTTGGCAACCGCTTAGCGGTCCCGACGCGGGGAGGTGGGGCATGACCCCGAAGACGCGGCTTGCACAGCCGTTCCCCGCGACTCTATGGAAGAATAACCAAATACATGAATGCAGAATGGAAGATAGCAATACTGGTGTTCAGTTAGTTAAGAAGGATTTGGGGGGGTTGGTCACAAGTCATTGGTGTGATCAGCTGCAAAAAAGCATAATTGTTGGGGGCTGTATCAATAAGTGTTAGGTGTAAGACACACAAGGTAATAGTATCACTGTACTTAGTACTGCTTAGGCCTCAGCTGGAGCATTGTGTGCAGTGCTGGGTTCCACATCTTGAGGATATGGAGAAGTTGGAGAGGATCCCAAGGCAGGCCACAAAGGGTGAAGGTTTAGAAGGCAAGTTGTATGAAGAAAGGTTGAGAGCTACCTTTGTTTAGCTTAGAGAAAAGGTGATTAAGTGGGGACATGATAGCAGTTTTCCAATATTTGTAAGGCTGTTGTGAAGAAGAGGACAGAAAATGAAGTAATGGGTTCAAATTGTAGCAAAGCAGCTTAGATCTCAGGAAAAGCTAGTTTACTGTTTAGAACAATAAGGCAGTGGCATAGACTGCTCTGGGAAGTTGTCGAATCTCCTTCATTGGAGCCTTTCAAGAGGAGGCTGGGCAAGTGTTTGACAGGGATAATTTAACAGTAGCATTTTTAAATTAAGGCACCCTGCACTTGTCGCTATTGAATCCCATCCTATTCTCATTTGCCCACCCCTGTAAGCTGTCCAGGTCCAGCTGTATCCTGTTCTTCCCTTCTAGTGTGCCCACCTCACCCCAAATCTTGGTGTCGTCTGCAAATTTAAACAGGATGCTTTTCACCCCCTTGTCCAAGTCGCTAATAAAGAATTTGAACAGTGCGGGCCCAAGGACCAAGCCCTGGGAGACTCCACTGCTCACATCCCTCCAGGTCAAATATGACCTATGCACCACTACTCTCTGGGTGCGGCCCCTCAGCCAATTTGCTATCCATCTGGCTGTGTAGGCATCAGTGCCACAGTCACCCAGCTTTTTAATGAGAATGGGGTGGGAGACAGTGTCAAAGGCCTTCCTGAAGTCCAGAAAGACTACATCTACCGTGACACCTGCGTCCAATGATTTTGTGACTTGATCATAGAAGGCAGTCAAGTTGGTCTGACAGGACCTGCCCCTAATGAAGCCATGCTGGTTACCTCTGAGCATCATCCCCGCTGCTGGCCCTTCACAGATGTGCTCCTGGATAATCTTCTCAAAGAGCTTCCCCAGGATCGAAGTAAGACTGATGGGCCTATAGTTGCCCAGGTCCTCCTTTTTTTTGAAGATGTGGACTACATTGGCCCTCTTCCAGTTGTCCAGCACCTGGCCAGAACACCACAAGTGCTCGTAAAACCGTGCCAGGGGCCCTGCGATAACCCCTGCCAATTCCCTCAACACCCTGGGGTGGAGAGCATCTTGACCTGCTGATGTCACATTTAGTATTATTAACAACAAAGGTACAAATGATTATGGAACACATTGAAGTAAAATAAAACATTTCAACTCAAATTTGAAATCAAGTCTGTGAGATGGCGCACCCTGGATATTCTTAATTTAGGTATTCTTCCGTATCACTGTCTTCAGATGGCTCTAGAACAGTAGTTTTAATTGACTCATCTGAATGTCCATTTTCATTGTTTAGAGGCAGTTTCACTCCATCTGGCAGTCCACTTTTAGTATGTCACAGGTTCCAACACATCCAGCACTGATGTGCATCCAATATTTGTTGGATCGAGAGTTTGTCCATTCATAGACTTGCAAGTGTGCTTGGAGGTAGTTCTTTTTGAAGGAGTCATGGTCTGGGGGAAGCCTTGCAGAATCCTAGTGTGCCATTTGTCACCATGTATGTGCATGAGCAGTGGACAAACTATCACTCAGAAAGCAAGGAAATATTGTGGATACAGGTACAATATAAACGCTCGGTGGAGGAAGGGTGGGGAGGAGACAGATGAGCTGAAACCAGTAAGGGGCAGGAGTAGGGTGGTGAATAAGAGAAGACAATAGACTAAAAATGATTCCCTGGCTCTAGGCAACCTAGTTTAGGTTAGATCTCA